GAGAGAAGCTTAAGGTGATTCCTCTAAAATCAGGAATGAGACAAGGCTGCCCTCTCTCTCCATATCTCTTCAATATTGTACTTGGAGTTCTAGCTAAAGCAATAAGACAACAAAAGGAGATCAAGGGAATACAGATTGGAAAGGAAGAAGTCTACCTTTCACTATTGACAGATGATATGACAGTTTACATAAGCAACCCAAAAAACTCTACCAGGGAACTCCTACAGCTGATAAACACCTTCAGCAAACTAGCATAGCAAGATACAAGACAAACTCAAAAAAATCAGTAGCACTACTTTATACAGACGACAAAAGAGCTGAGTAAGAAATCAGAGAAACATCACCCTTTACAATAGCCACAAGCAACATAAAATAATCTTGGGCTTACACTTACCAAACAAGCAAAAGACCTATATAATAAGTACTTTGTGTCTTTAAAGAAAGAAATTAAAAAAGATACCAGAAGATGGAAAGATCTCCCATGTTCTTGGATAGGTAGGATACACATAGTAAAAATGGCAATCTTGCCAAAAGCAATCTACAGATTTAATGCAATCCCCGCTAAAATCCCAGCACAATTCTTCACTGACCTTGAAAGGATAGTAATCAACTTGATTTGGAAAAACAAATGACGCAGGATAGGCAAAACAACCCTGTACAATAAAAGAACTTCAGGAGGCATCACCATTTCCGACTTTAAGCTCTACTACAGAACTATAGTTCTGAAGACAGCCTGGTATTGGCACAAAAATAGACAAGTAGACCAATGGAATGGAATAGAAAATCCTGATATTAACCTACACACTTATGAACACCTGATTTTTGACAAAACAGCCAGAAGAATACAATGAGAAGAGGAAAGCATCTTCAACAAATGGTGCTGGCACAATTGGATGAGGGTGTGTAGAAGACTGCAGATAGACCCATGTCTGTCTCCATGCACAAAACCCAAGTCCAAATGGACCAAAGAACTCAACATAAATCCAGCCACTATGAACCTCTTAGAATAGGAAATGGGAGGCACCCTGAACAAGTTGGTACAGGAGATTGTTTCCTGAACGTAATACCAATAGCAAAGACACTGAGATCGACAATTAATAAATGGAACCTCCTCAAACTGAGAAGCTTCTGTAAGGCAAAGGACATAGTTGACAAGAACAAACAGCAGCCCACAGACTGGGAAAAGATCTTCACCAATCCTACATCTGACAGAGGGCTGATCTCCAAAGTATACAAAGAACTCAAGAAACTAGTCACAAAACGCCAAATAAGCCTATTTAAAAATGGGGTACAGAACTGAACAGAGAACTCTGAATAGAGGAAATCAAAAAGGCTGAAAGACACTTAAGAAAATGCTCAACATCCTTAGTTATCAGGGAAATGCAAATCAAAACAACTTTGAGATACCATCTTACTCCTGCCAGAATGGCTAAAATTAGAAACACCAATGACAACTTATGCTGGAGAGCATGTGGAGAAAGGAGAACACTCCTTCACTACTGATGGGAGTGCAAAGGTGTACGACCATTTTGGAGATCAATATGGTGGTTCCTCAGGAAGAATGGGAATCAGTCTACCACAGGACCCGGCAATCCACCTCTTAGGCATATACCCAAATGATCCACATCCATGCAACAAAGACATGTGCTCAACTATGTTCATAGCAGCACTATTTGTAACAACAAGAACCTGGAAGTAACCTAGATACCCCTCAACTGAAGAATGGAAAAAAAGTTTTGGCACATTTACACAACGGAATACTATGCGGGGGGAAAAAAACAATGGAATCTTGACATTCAAAGGCAAGTGGATGGACCTTAAAGAAACCCTCCTGAATGAGGTAACCCAGTCACAAAAAGAGGAACATGATATATACTTGCTCATATACGGATTTTAGACATAGAGCAAAGAATCACCAACCTATAATCCACATCGCCAGAGAAAATAGGATACAAGGAGGATTCTAAGAGATGCATATAAGTTACCTCACAGAAGGGGAAAGGGGCAAGATGTCCAGAGCATATGGGGAAGGGGGAAGTGAGTGGAGAGGGAACTAGGAGAAAGAGAAGGGGAGGAGTGGAAAATACGTGGGACTAGGAAGATTGAGTCAGGGGAGGAACAGACGAGAGAGAAGAGAGAGAGAGAGAGAGGGGAGAGAGAGAGAGAACAAAAGAGGGAGCCATTATAGGTTTCAAGAGAAAACTGAACCTAGAGAAATGTTCAGAGACCTACATGCCTGACCCCAACTAACAATCTGAGCAACAGTGAAAAGGCTACCATAAATGCCTTTCCCTGATAATGAGATCGATGACTAACTTATCCACCATCATGGAGCCCTCATCTAGTTGCTGATGGAAACAGAAGCAAACACCCACAACTAAACACTGAGAGAAACTGTAATCCAGATGCAGAGAGGGAGGACAAGACCAGGCTACAGAAACACATAGAAAAAATTGACCTGAACAAGGAGGAGCTAATGGATCCCAGACTGATAGCTGGGAATCCAGCTTGGGACTGACTCAGACCCCTTGAACATGGGTCTCAGTTAGAAGGCCAGAGCAGTCTAAGGGACCTTGGACAGTGGAACCAGGATGTATTCCTGGTGCCTAAAAGGATTTTGAGGGTATAACCTCTATGGAGGGACACTCCCTTAACCTAGAGACAGGAGAGAAGTCCTAGTCCCTGCTCCAAATGACTTGGCAGAATTAGGTGACCCATCCTGGAGGGCATCACCCTACATGTGGAGCTCAGGATGGGTGGGAGTGGAGGGTGGGAGGGGGGCATGAGAGGGTGGGAGAGAGAGAAAGAGGGAGGGGGAGGGAACTGGGATTGATATGTAAAATAAAAATAAATAAATTATATATATATACATATATACACGCACACACACACATATATATACATATATACATATATACATATATTCATATATATGATGGAACTTTATTTAGAAAGGAACAGCACATTGTGCCTCAGTGTCTGATGACACTAAATTGCTGTAATGGACATGAAAGGTACTCAGGTATTGGTTAGTGAAACATTAAATACTAATGTAAACAACATAAACCCAGTGGTCTTGGACTAATCCTGAAGATCACGAAACTATGTTTGCTCCACATGGGCTATTGGATCCACATTTGGTCTTATTTTTCAGATGGTTTTCACAAAATCTTCTTTCAACAAATCGCTGACATTTAGAACTTCAAATTGTCCATTTAGGTCATCAAACAAAATTTTGCTACCAGATAGGACACTAGACAAGCAGAAACCAGGCATTTGATTCTCTTTCATTTTTAAACTGATTCAGAACATTGGTGAGGTCCAAAGTAAGCCAGACATAGTCATAACAACACAGTCTCCATTCCAAACAGCCCTGTTCATAAAGCCATCAAAGCAGCACTCTTAATGCCAACTGCATTGCTAACCACTTTTAGTTGAGAGCAGACTGTGTGTGCAACGTTACACAAGCAGGACCATCACTGGTGCATCTTTTACATTCCTTAAAACCTAACAGAGAAGCTTGTACTCCAGATAGAGTAAACTTGTTCATTCAAAGAAATAAACCCACATGTTAAAAAAACATTTTTTTTTTTTAGTGTGTCATAACATAACCGAAAAGCGTGAACTGCATGATAATTTTCAGGCCAGCATGGGATACAGGATGGATTCCATGCCAAAAATTTAAAAGGAGAAACTATCCAAGTGTTAGAGAAAAATAATCTTTTGAATTAATTTTTAATGCTTTGGTCTATATTATTACTGTTGTTGGTTTCAAATCAGTAGCATATTTGGTACCATTTTCTGAACTGCTATAGTTATGCAAATCGGGAATACTAGTGGCATATAATTGAACTGTGAACTTTGAAAGTGTTTCTTCCTTTCATTGTAAGTATTTCCTCTCTCATTTAGTGACAGTGCAGTGCTGTACAATAGCTGATTCATTCTTTACTTAACACGTTTAGTCTCTCTGAACCTACTGGAGAAACATTTTCAAAGCTCATTTATCAACTGAGCATGGAGATATATATATATATATATATATATATATATATATATATGTATATATATATATATATATATATATATATTTCAAGCTACACTTTCTGATGGAGTGGTTTCATAAAAGGCAAAATCATCAAGTTTGAATCATTCTAAGGTGGTAATCAGCTTTTATCAGCAGAGGAGAACAAAAGACATAAGCCTCACTTGCCAGGCAATAGAGTGTTGTGTTATACAGGTCAGTGTGCCACCCACACTGTCTCCTACCATGTCTATCCTTCCCCATTGCTGGAATTTCTGTCCCTTAAAAGCTATTCCATTCTCATCATCTCCACTAAGCAGCAGAGCTATTTGTATTTTGGTGACATAAACATTTAGCCACACGTGAAGGCTTTTATATCACATTCTCAAAAGTCATTGAATGATTCATAAGTGTAGGAGTTTCCTCCACAAGACACAAAATACAAGCTGGTAAAAGTTGCTTCCAACTTAGGAATTCAGTGCTCAGCCACAGAACTAACCCTGTCTACCAAAGTAAATGAGTTCAGGATTTCAGTGAGAATATCAGACAAACATACACATGACCAAAAATTAGAATATAAAAGGCACATTGTTTTCAAATCTCATTCAAAAGTAGAACTAATGCAAATGATAAATTGAGGTTTACTTTAAAGAGTCCTAAAGAGATGTATCATGATTTTGCAATAATTACATGCACAATTATTTATGTATATATACATATATAATATAGTCTAAAAATCACAAACAACCATAAATATATAATACAAAATGGATCATTATACATGTGAAAATTATACAAATATATTTAGTTTTAGTTGAATGTTGTTGACTTTGTGTAAACACTAAACATATTGTTCAAATTTAATTACATTTATTTTCATGAAATTTGCTTATTACTTTAAATAGCCTTGAGAAAAACACATTGATTAAAAAAAACACAAAGAAAAAATAATATAGCAAGGGAAAAATGACTTATTTACCTGGATCTTCTATAGTTAAGTTCTTTATTAACCACTGAACAATGTCTGACCCTAGAAAAAGAAAAGCACAAATAGATGTGAGCCTTTTAATATGGTTTATGATTTATTATTTATATTGTATTTTAATTGATTTTAATGCTTTAGTCATTAAGTTTATTAAATGTCATGTTTTAGGCACAAATCTTGCCATGGCATGAATACAACTTTCCAGAAGCTCCCCCCAATTTTTGATTTTTTTGATTGTCTTTATCTTGTCCTTGTAGTTATATCAAGCCAAGCCAACAATGTCTTTGGGTCGTTAGTATTCCTGGAGGCTTTAGGCCCCTGTGACTTCATATAGTCTTATTCTTTCTGACTGCATGCAGGCTCCTTGTTTTTAAGAACCTCAAGATTCTTGGGTAAAGACAACTTCCTTGACCTTCACTTTTGTCTTCTCGGATACAGCAGCCACCTCAGCCCTTCACTGAAATGCCTGGGATCCTTTGTTGGAGTTTGGAGCACAGCACCTCACAGCTGTGTGAACAAATACATAATATTATAGGACACAAAGCAGACTCTCAAGTTCATCCCTGACTATTTGAAGCTGAGCCCCTGCTCACAATGAACAATTCAATCAACTAAATAAAGCAGGACTCCACCTCCTAACATGAAATGAGAAAGTCTCTGCTAGACTCTAAAGACAGCATTTGATTTATAAAAAGAAGAGAGATGCTACAGGGACCTAAGATATTAAATGACAGAAAACAGTAGATTCCATTTATTGTTCTCTGTTTGCATATTGAGCTCTAGGGAAAGGAATTTGAAAGTCAGGGAACGATGTATGCATTTTACAATCTAAAATTCTCAGCTAAAAATTATTTGAACTTTTTTCCTTACAAATAAGGCACATGTTTTTCAGCAGAGAAATAACACAAAGTGTGTTTAAGAAATTCAACAAGAATTTTCCAATGAATATTAAGGAGTAAAAAAGAAGCCTGAAGTGCTGGTGCCAGCACTCTGGAGACCGAAGGTGTCTTGCTGGCAAGGCTGAGGCTGTTGCGGACTACACAGTAGTCCCCAGGTTAGCCTATGGCACAGAGGTAGGACAGTAGGGCTAGAAGTGAGGAGAATGGGGTCTGGGAAGCCTTAGAACAGGGCTGCAAAATTAGCATCTTGAGAAAATCTATTGGCAAAGATGAAACTTCCCAGTCAAAGCCAGCTAGAACAAGCTAGAACATGTGGGCCAGGCACAGAGGCACTGTACCTTACCTCAAGGTAAACTATACCTCATTATAGTTCTAAACCCCATCCCCCCTGGTAGAGAGTAAGATGCTTATGATACTAGATATGAATGGAGTTGTATGTAGAACTGTATGTAACAGAAAGGCATGATTGACAAGCTGGCAAAAAGTTCAAGAGGAGCTGTGTAGGTAGCTCAGTGCACAAGCATGAGAACCTGAGTTTTGCATCTGCAGCACTCATGAAAAAGCAGTGGTGGTAGAATGTGGTGATATATTGTTTATGATTTAATAAAGCCACTGGAGATCAAAATGCAAAGCTAGTCATAGCCATACATCTAGGCAATGGTAATATACACTTTTAATTCCACCAGTCACACTAATTAGTTATAGAAGCTGGGCAGTTGTGGCACACACCTTTAAAAGGCAGATGGATCTCTGTGACTTCAAAGACCCCCAGGATTACATTAGAGTGAATCAGTCTAAAAGAGAAACAGCTCACACAAAGGAGATCTCAGCACTTGGGATTCCAAGCTTTTAACCACAGCTTTAGAGAGATATATATAAGATAGGAGCAGGGCATTGAGTGGTCAGTCTCAGAGATTTATTCTCTAGCCATGCTGAGGACAGGACAGCCCTTTCCACCTGAGGTAGAGGTAAGAGCTAATAGCCAGCTGCTTTGCTTCTCTGATCTCAGCTTGAACCCCAATATCTGTCTCTGGGTTTTCATTAATCGAATTACAGTAGTATATACCTGCAACTCCAATAACAGAAATGGAGTAGGCTGATCTAAGGGCTTACTGGCTAGCCAGTGTAACTGAAATATAAGTAAGTTTCAGGCTCATTGACTTCTTCTACAAAGCAGTAAGGCAAAGTATGATAAAGGGAGACACCTAATATTTACCCATGGCCTTCACACATATAAACAGAGGCAAGGCCACATCCACATACAAATATGCCACATACATATGAGCCCACAAAAAGGTGACATAAGAGCTCCATCTCTAATATGGCCTTTGTCATGTCAGTTTCTAACCATTCCCACTGTTCTGATTCATTTTCTCCCCTGGAAATATATCCTTTTCTAAGCACAAGTACAGACACATTCAGCAGAGAATTTTACAAGCTCTCCAAATAAAAGTTAATGCCAACCCTCCGCATGTTATTCTGTAAAATAGAAAAGGAACACTTCCAAATTCTTTTTACTAAGCCAGTATTACTCTGATTCTAAAATCTGACAAAGACCCAACAAAAAGAGAAAATTATAGGCCACTCTTTGGTGAAACACAGATTCAAAATTTATCAACAAAATATTTCCAAGCTGAGTTCAAGAATACCAACCACCATGATCAAAGTAGTTTCAACTCAAGGATGCAGGGATATAAATCATTAAAGGTGATCCAACACAAAAACAAACTCAGATAGAAACCACATGGTCATTTATCTCATTAGATGCAGAAAAGGCCTTGAACAAAATCAAGCAACCCTTCATGATACAAGTTCTGAAGAATGTAAGGATATGAGGCACAGATCTCAATTTATGAAAGGTATAATCATACAGATAAGGCCATGTTTTTTTTTTGTTTTGTTTTTTTGTTTTGTTTTGTTTTGTTTTGTTTTGTTTTTGAGCTGCCATGTGGGTGCTGGGAATTGAACCTGGGTCCTCTGGAAGAACAGCCAGTGCTCTTAACCACTGAGCCATCTCTCCAGCCTCCAGATAAGGCCATGTTAATAGAGAAAAACTTAAGTCAAAAGAACCTCCCAGTCTTATTAAAAAAGCCTCTCCTTCCAGTGAAGAGTAGTAGATTCACTTGTGACTGACCAAAATGCAGAAAATAGGCAACAGATATGGGCCCCTTATAAATCACTTAAAACACCCCCTCTAAGGCTCATGAAACATAGCAGAAGTGGGAACAGGAAATATGTAAGAACTGTAAGATAAGATAAAAGGTGAAGAGAGACCATTGCTGTATGCTATAAATATGTTTCTCTAATAAGAGATGAATAAAGCTGCTTTGGCCAATGGACAGGCAGGATTCAGCCAGGCAGGAAATATAGGCGGAACTACCAGACTACCAGACTAGGAGAATTCTGGGAAGAGGAACACAGAGAGTGAGTTTTACGGGAGATACCATGTAGTTGCCAAGGAAGCAAGATACTTGGGCATCACCAGTAAGCCATGACCACGTGGAAATATATAGATTAATAGAAATGTGTTAATAATTAACTGAGAGATAGCCAATAAGTAGCCCGAGCCATAGGCCAAATAGTTTATAATTCATATAAGAATCTGTGTGTTTATTTTGGACTGAATAGCTGCCGGACATGGCAAGGCCAGAAATCTGTCTACAAATCATTAAAAGGCATCAACTGTACTTGCCTGCATTGGACCCATAAAGACCAGTCCTACCAAAAGGCAGTCAAGGAACGGCAAGGTGTTCATTGGTTTTTACCATTTTGCCTCATCAATGAAGTAGACTTAAGGCTCATAGCCCCTAGACTTACATATCTGGAATCAAAGCCAGTCCGAAGTTTGAGGATGAAACTGTGCTTCAATAGTTTCTGACTCTCAGCTTGGGGTGGCACAACCTTATTCTTCAATAAAAATAGGGGAGAAAATTGAGATAATGGAGCATAAATATTGGTGGGTTGAAACACATTCAAGAAAGATTGGATCTTGACAGACAAAACAAGCAGTAAAAACTATAGCCACCTTTCAGCTTCCTCTGCTAAAAAAGAGATGAAGCTTGGAGTCATTTTTAATAAAATGAATATGTGAATCTGCCTTATGAACATAAATGTGCTTTACACTGAGGGATTACTATATTCCTGAAGAGTAGAATATAGGGTTTTGTTTGTTTGTTTTTATTTTGCTTGTTGTTTTGGTATGTGAAAAAAGTCACATTTTATGCACACTAAAATAACTTTAAAAGAACCTTGTGGTAGATTTAGGTGTGATTATGTTTTTATAATTGCATTTTTAAGTAAAGAACTTACTTTGTATTTGCTGGAGAGATGGCTCAGTATGAGAAAATATGCACAGCAGTGGGAGAATGGGATCAGATCTCAGTACCCACACAAAAAGCTGGGCATGACTGTTACATACACCTATAGCCCCAGCATGAGGGAGGGGAACAAGAATGGCTATGGCTTGCTAGTTGACAGGCAACGTAGCTCCAGGTTCAATTAAGAGACTGTCTCAAAAGAATAGTACAGGGTGAGTGAGGAGGACACCTGCCATTTCCCCTTTATCTCTGGAAAGCATATGTGCAGTCACACAGATCCGCACACCACACACATACATCACATTCATATGTATCTACAAAAAAAAAATTTATTTTCAAAAATAAAATCTGGGAATTTTTTCTGGAATGGTGTACACCAGGTACATTTAAAGAGGACTCAATGTTTATAGTGTAAAAAGTTAACCTCTCAACATACTTTGAAACAGGGTGTAACTTAGAATGTAACGTGTACTTTCCAAATTGTCTAGAATTAGCATGAATGAGATATAAAGATCAATTGATATAAAATAATCAAAGAAATATTATTGTCATAGTAGACATTAAATCTATTTTAAATCTTTGTCTGTAACAATTAAAACTATAGAGAAATAAAATTATAAAATTTTCAAATAAACAACAGAACTGGAACAAATTACACTAAGTGAAGTGAGCCAGACTCAGAAGGACACTCTGAAAGTTCTCTCTTATATTTGCACACTAAACTAATCTTTAGGCTTCAATAATTAACTCAGAGCCAAAGACTAAATATGGGCTCTTGTGGGTGGGGATGCCTTAAGAAGGGGGGCACTAGTGGAGGACAGGTGTTATG